ATGAAACCATACCAGGTCTCATAATTGCCCTTCTGCAACTAACTGTTCAGTATTCAGTTTCTTGAATTTTTCAGCAAGGTTCATCTTCCAGCTGTAATGCATTAACATAATACTACTGTGCTGATGCTTCCAATACTGCATATTACCAAAGAGAAAGTCTCAGCAACAAATTTTTACTTTCAAGCTGATTAAAAATTGTGAACTTTTTGTCACATACCCACACATATATACATATAACTCTTTTAATAATGCAATACGTACATTATTTTATACTCCCCATCAGAATTAGTTTTATTATTAAACATATTTATTTTATTAAGAATAGTTTAGGAATATTGAAAATAATATTATATGTGTACACACACAATGTTCTTCTGGGGGAAAAATGGTCTTAAAAAGCCTTTTACTTCCCAACAATTCTTTGGTTATTTCTGTGAAATTCATATTAAGCTGATGCTTTAATCTTTTCTAGCTAGAGTAAAATAACATTTTAAAGAGTCATATCGGAGGACCGGACATTCTCTTGATAACATATCTTCCTTTCACTCTCTGCTTACCCACCAGAAATAATCTTGGGCTTTTCTATGTAATAAAAATATATACTACTCCATGAAAGAAGGCAACTCTTAAAAATATAGTGTAATGAAAGTACAATTAGGGAAAAATTATATCAGTAGAATATTATAAGAAGTAAGGGCTTTATTATTTTCTGATATCCACTCCAACTGGAATAATAAATGTTATCCCATAGAAGCTCTTTCCTCTTTCAAAGGTATTTTTCATTTTACAAAATTGGGATCATCCACTATCCTGAAGAAAAGGACGCTGTCCTCTATGATCGTTTCCATATCACTTCTTGGGCTAGCACAGCCATGTTTTGAGATTTGTGTGTAAGCAGCTTCAGAATTCTTCCCTCTGTGTTCCTCTGTTATGTTCTGGGCTTTCTGCCATGTTCTTGGGCAGCACCTCACACCACTACACTTTCATATCTCTTCCCTTCTGCCCATGTCCAAGTTTATTTCCCAGACTGACAAATTGTTCATAATTTTTTATAGGGAAATTTAGCCTTCCCTTTATCTAATGTTGCCCATCAGGCTATGCCCAAAAGGACCTTGACTTTCTCAACTTGAATATCTCATCCAGATTTATCTAGTTTTTTTTTTTCCTTAACAAAAGAATCTTTCATGTGTGATGTAAGTGTTGCTCTTCCCAAGAAGGCAAAAAATAGGAGTCTTCTTTCTTTTATATAAAACAAGATTGTAGGGCTTTTTTCCTCTCCACTATGTTGATTTTTTTCAACAAATATTTAAAAGTGTGTTCAACATGTAAAACTTGGTGCAGAACAATTCAGTCTTTACTTTCAATAACTCATTTTACAGGACCGAACCCCAAGAAGGTGAAACAGATAGCTACATAAATATGTTCTGGTGTCTTCAGGAAAGAAACAACTTCAGATGTGTTCATGGAACCTCTGCCAATTATTTCTGAGGTATCATGGAGAATGGGGAAGAATCAAGAAAACTGAAGATGTGTCTATGCTGTTCTGATTTTATTAGAAAGGAAGAAAAGATTCTGTGAACTGCAAACCAATGAGTTTGACATCAGTCTCTAACAAAATTTGGACAAAATTATTAAAGTAAAAGTGAGCATTTTGAGATGGTGTCAGTGACTATTAAGAATCAGTATGGGTTCAGGGCGCCTGTGTGGCTCAGTCAGTTGGGTGTCTACTTTCAGCTTAGGTCATGATCTCAGGGTCCTGGGATTGACCCCGCTTTGGGCTCCCTGCTAAGCAGGGAGCCTGCTTCTACCTCTCCCTCTGCTGCTCCCCCTGCTTGTGCTCTCAATCTCTCTCTCTCTGTCAAATAAATAAATAAAACCTTAAAAAAAAAAAAAAAGAATCAGTATGGGTTCACTAAGAACAAAGTAGCTCCAGGTAAAGTATATTACTTTTACTCTTAAAAAAAAAAAAAAACAACAGTATAACTGAATTTTGGTAAGTCTTTTAATCAAAATTCTCATACATTCTTAGAAGATAAGTTAGACTAGTTTATAGTATGGTTAGAAAGTTTCCAAAAATGGCAGAATTACCTCTTTAAGAATGATGAAGAATGAATTTTGGAGTCACAGAACCTCAGCAGTTCAAATTGAAGCCCTGCAACTTATCAGCTATGTCAATTTGTGCAAGTTGGATAAACTTCCTGAACCTTAATTTCCTCAATTGTAATGAGGGATTAAAACTATCTATGTCATAAAGATGTGCTTCTTAAATGATACAATGTACATGAAGTGCTTTTTACCTATCTTCACATAAGTGCTCAATAAAAATGATAGGTGTTACATTTTATTCTCATGAGCTAAGGGTAATTGAGTGTTGTCAATCTGAAGAGAGATCTCTGAGAATTGTACTATCATTTTTTTTTGCCAGTGATTTGAAAGAAAACATGGAAGTCATAATAATTACATTGGCAGTGTCCTTGCTTTGCTGTGAGCTTTTTTCAGCAAAGTGACCATGTCTCTTTGCCTTTGGTATCATCACTGCCTGATATAGTGCCTAACCCATAGTAGCCACACAGATGTTTTTCCAAGAATGACACAAAATAAAATATAGTAACTAAGATATCGGGTAGTAAAATCAGGATTCAAAAATGCCACAAAGAATTAGAACAATGACCAGTACCAAATATGAGCTGTAGTATGGATGGATATAAAATCCTCTGTTTCCATCCAAAACTTCAACGGCAATAAGAACACGTCACCAGAGGCTGGATTAGAAAGAATTTGGTATGAAAAATATTTAAACATTTTAGTTTTGTAAAAGTTCAAGAACTAAGAATATGATAATGATGCCAACCCCTCCTCAAAATGCATTTCCTGCCTTCATAAAACTCTAAATTATTAGAAATAGAGTGCAGAACGAGGCAGGCAACAGGATCCACGTACTTTGCATAATTAGACCATGTCTCAAGTAATGCATTCAGTTCTGATGCCACATTTAGAAGAGACAGGGACAAACTGGAATCTATCCAGTATGGTGAGAAACCTTAAAAGCCATCTCATATTAGAATGATTAAAAGAATGTTCAGACTGAAAAAAAAGTAGACTTAGGGAAAAATGATAGCCATTTTTCAAATAGTTGGATAACTTTCATGTGGAATAGGGATTAAATTTATCCTCAAAGCCTCACGAAGCCTCAGAAAAAATTCATACCAAAGAATAGACAATTCAAGAAGATATTGGTCAAAAATAAAGGAGATCTCTATCTAAAATCAGAATGAATCATCTTAGACTTACTAATGTATTCTCTTCAAAGTTATTTAATTTCAATTTATTTAGGAATTTATTACCCTTCGCATTGATATGCAAACCTTGCATAAGTCCTGTAAAGAAGGAAACCTTCAAGAGTTTGCAGGTTAGTTGATTTATATCATTTACAGTGTCCACATACACAGTTATAAATGTGCCACTATTTACTTAGCAAAAATCTATGAAATATCATCATGTACATGTCAGTTTTGTGCTAGCTAGTGGGCAGGTTGAAGAAAAAGCAATATAACATAAGAAATTTTTGCTTTGGATAGGATGTTGGGCCAAACTTTGATATTTGAATTTAGATCAATCCCCCCTCCAAAAAAAGGAAGAAGAGTTTTCTTGATTTAAATGTCACTGAGGAGGATACATACCTGGCAGGGGAGATACCGTGATCATGAAGGTGGTTTTCCCAGGGCGAGGCTTATCCATTGCACTCCAGATGTGCTGACCCCTGCGATTTTCCCAAATGTGGGAAACTCGACTGCATAATTTGTGGTAGTGGGGGACTGTGTTCGCGCTTTCCCCTGCTAAAAAAAATAAAATAAAATAAAAAATAAATAAATGTCACTGAGGAATTGAGGAGTCTAAAAAATTAATAGCCCACCACTTCCAGAGTATACTGATAAAATGGGTAAAAATTGTAAGTCAAAGACATGCCATTTATATCTATTGAGCTCCTTATTTTCTAGACTTTGTTGTGATCATGTTATACTTACAAGGATTAATAAAACATATAATGCCGTCGTGTTTCTAAAATCTCTTGCCACTTACAAACCTGAATTCCATTTATACATACATCTATAAGGAGATATGCAGTCAATCAACTTTTTTTAAATACCACCATTAATTAAAAAAAAAAAATTGAGTACCAGCTGTCTATTATTCCTTAAGGTGTAAAAGAGTCCCTTTTCTTAAGACGTTTACAGAACACCTCTCCTATATCCTTCTCCCATAAGAAGTAAAAGAATCATAACTAACAAATGTATTTAATTTGCTATCAGAAAGTTTAAGAGCAGAAAGTACAACATATACAGTCATGTTCATTTTAAAATTGTTTGGGGAACTTCAATTTTCTTTGCCTTTTGTTTTGCAAGTGCTTGCTTAAAAAAAAAGGTTAAAATATAGTAATTCTCTATGCTTATAAAGCTATATTTTTAGGGAATGAACATCAAAAAGAATCTATTTTTGCTAAATGGTTAATTAGAAGAGGATGGTTTCTAAAAAGGAAACAAACAGAAAGCAGTAGAACCGCCTAGTCCTGCTCAGTGCAGCCCAATCCTGATTCAGCAAATAGGTATTTGCCAGTAGCAATGAGCATTGTGTACTACAGTGACGGTGCTGCTTAACTCGATACTGTTCCCACACCTCTGTTAGTCGGACCCAGTGCGTGGGTAACTCATGAAGTCACTGGGTACCTGAGCAAAATTTTGAAAGCATGGAGGTTATGAGGGTTTAGAGACAGGTGGAACTGGCTACATGATCATGGCCACGCCCACCTCTTAAACTGCACTTGGCAACGAAATTCATGCCAAGATGACACCTGTCTGCGTAGGAAATTTATGACAAGACAGAAGGGCAGGCTTCGGATCACAATAATAGTGACTGTGATCTCCCCAGAAGCCTCTCCCGGAAAAACTCAATACTCCTTTCTCACTTGTATGCCAACTGGAATTTGAAGGGAGCTTGCTAACTGATGTTCTATGTGGACCCAGAAGTACTACTGATAAGGTAAGGGCAATTATATCTCTTGGTTTGATCACTAGAGATTGATTATAAAGGGATTCCCTGCTCGATCTTTCCTTTCAAACGTAGATTACTGGGGCAATCTTCTTGGCAGTGTATTTCAGGGTCTTGAACTTGAGGGATAGAATTGTTTGGTGCCTGCTCTAAAAAGAGACATCCAGCCCCTGCAAATAGTTATCTGTGCAGTTTCTGGCTAATGGGATACAGAGGAATGAGGATGATGGTGAGCTGTAGTTGAGTGTTAAGGAGTGATTTCAGAGGAATGTGTCAAAGCAGCTCATCTCCCGGGCACTACATGACAGTGTTTTTTAGTAGCCACCTGTATCCAGAGATTTAAATTTATGAAAGGAGAATCGTAATGATATCTTAATTGCTCTAAGGATGTCTTTTCAAAGGAATTGTCACAGAAACAGTTCCTTCAAAGGAACTGAGAAACCAAAGGGGATGGCTTTATTATGGAAGAGCTGAGGAAAGCCTCGGCCCCTAGAAGTTAACGTTTATGGATCTCTTTGGCAAATAATAGTCTCCGTTGCAATACTGCTGTGTTTGATGAGGATTCAAAAAGTCTTAATCAAATCTAGCAGTCATTCCTGCTTCTTTCTCTCCTAATCTTCCTGATCCTGAATTATGAGAGCCTTATCTATGAAAATAAGATACCATTTGTTAAAGCCTTTTCAAAATTAAGACAAAAGCCATCAAAACTAATTGTTTGCTACTATCAAACAAACAGATTTTTTAAGTTTGATGAATTGTTTGTAAGCACTAATCAAGTGGGTGGAGTCATAAAAGAGGGAGGGAACCAACTGAGACAATATATGTAATTTGTTTGCATTATTATTTGAGATAATTACAAAGCAGGCATTCAAAAGCTGTTCTTTATCTTCATACCAAAAGGGAGAAAAATAGGGAGGAGAGGAAAAGCACAAGAACACCCAGCCATTGTCAGCTGCAATCTAAAATATTGCCGGATTCACAATTGTCAAACATTAGCATTACTAAGAATGCCAGGGACAGAAGTGTCACGTTGAATGTAGAGTGATGACTTCATAGGAAGGCAAAGCTGAGGATATGACCATTTTGCAGTCACAGAGAAATCAGCTTTAATTAATTTGAGTGCCAGCTCTGTGTATAATTACACAGCATGAGAGTTTGCATGCAAATGCGGAAATGCTGATTGTTCAAATACTTGCACTTGCTCATTAATACATTGGGACTAAGCAGGGCTGGCAAGCAGACAGGGTACGGCACACACGGCGCCTGCAGGCTAATTTGTATTATACTGTAGTTAGCAAACAGATTTCAGATGTTTCTCCTTTCTTTAAATAATAAGCACAAAAATATGTATGTCATTTTCATCTGTGACATACCTTGTTTTCTTCTTGATTAAAATAAAATGTTTTGGGTTTTTAAAAAAACTGTTGAGGGTACACTAAACATTGCTGAAAGACCGATTTATAACAATTGGATGGCAGTAACATTTATACCAGTTAGGCTATTTCTATTTGACATTTATGTAATTATCCAAAGAGGTCATTTTTCATAATTGGTGAAACTATATTCAAAAAAGGTTCATTGATAATTAAATCCCGGGAGGAATAAAGCAGTGGTCACAGTTGAATTTTCTACTTGTCTACCAAACCTAGTATCTTGTCACTAGCTTCAGCTAGGGCTAGAGGCTTTAAGAAAAGGACTCCTTTCTTCAGGACAGCATCTAACCCTAAAACGTACTGAGGTGAGATTTTCCAATCAAACCATTAAATCTCTTAGCAGAGATCAATTTCAACCAAATTCCTAACTTCCTTGACAACGCCTCAGGGAAAAATCTTAAATCACAACCCCAGGAATATGTGATACTTTCTTCAGAAAATAGTATAAGAAAATAAGGAATTTGCCAAAGTCCCCAAAACCTGGTAGTGCTATCAAGTGCCACCTATTTCCTTGGCCACATTTCATGAATTTCAATTCTACAAATATTTAGGGAGCACCTCTTTCTGTCAGAGGATAAGAAGTAAGGAAGATAGACAAGGTCCCTGCCTTTGCCATCTCTCTTCTCTCAGGAGTTGTACAAAGGAACCTAACTCATTTTCTCTGGGAAATACATGCTATTAGCAGTTATTACCTTGTGGAGAAGCCCACATTACTGAAACCTGAATCTATGGCCTTCCATAAAGAGAGTTCTCATGGCCTTTCTGGGAGACTAGCTCCCTTTCTGACTTTTCTTTGACCCTATTGTGTTAGATAAAGGGAGCTGCCTCTTCCCCCAAGGCTGAATGGATACTGTGATGGATCTGTCAGACAGTCTATCAGGCGAGCCCCGAAGTCCATCTATAGAAGAATAGATTGAAGAGGAAGGCTGTCAATATCCTTTTCTGAAGGTCTATATCCATAAGAAGAGTCATTTCTCAAGGAGGCAAGTTGGATACATCCCATGGATGGATATAGGACCCTTCACACTTTTTGGTCTGACCAAAAGTAAGCAGTCATCTACTTGTCTTCTCAGCTCAGTATATGACGTGCTGGGGATAAAGTGTTCACTAATATGACCCTTCCTTCCTTCCCAAAAAGTCTGTTCAATACCCCATTGCCAAAGATTTCCTACAGATATGAGATATGTATATGTATAAAGAAAAAAGGGGAGAATAGAAACATTCATACACACCACCGAGTCTCCCACTTCACTTTGGGGCTAGTCATAACCTTTTCATCCTATATACAAAAAATATGCAAGGAAGGAAGGAGAAAAATCCAGAGTAGTGCAAGAATCCAAGGGTGTCTCCATGATGTGTACATGGTAATTTGGAAACAGCAGTTTTCAATGGCTAACTATAAATTCCAAGTACCCTGAGCTGAAACAACTTTTCCTTGAAGCTCTATCACAGTCAGATACCCTCAAATCAGAAAGCAAAACAAAAATAAGCCAAAAATAAATTCCCAAAATATGTATACATTAAGAAAATTCCATCTGGCTGGGGTGAAAATATTCTCTCTCTACACACACACACACACACACACACACACACACACACACACATTTGAGATGTGGATATATTGGTATCTTTACCAAGGAGAGCAAAAAAGTCTTACCTTCAGAAAATGACTTCTAATGTTGGGTTGTGATGATATATGAAAAGACCTATATTGGTGGATGATGCAAGTGATTTCATGCAACAATTACAGGGTCAGAAGGAAAGAGAATAAATGTGTAGAGAAGAAAGAAGAGGACTTACTATGGAGATGGAAGGTGTTCAGGAAATCTGAGGAAGCTCTAGCCTGTAATGGTCATGAAGAAAGCTTGTAACCCCGTATAGAGGCACAACACACCAGGGTGATTCAGAATGGTCTACTGTGCTGATTATTACAGAGTGAGAACCATAGGTGGGCTGGCAGCAGCTAATGATTCAGCAAGGCTTAGGTCAACAAGAACTGTTTCCACAGATTCATGGGTGCAGAATACATCCTTCAAGGGCATGAGGAGAATGAAGGTAATAATAACTAAAATAGAAAATGTGTGGAATCTTTATTCAAAAAGTGAAAGGGAAGAAGTGAGGCAAGAAAACTTTTCTAGGAAAGTGGAGAGTTGACCATGCTTGTAGAGGAGAAAAGAGCTGCTGGAGCAGGAACAATTTGGAGTGCAGGAGGAAATGTCTCCTTAATGGGGCAAGAACCGGGGAGAGTCCAGCTTATTATGCTAGCTATAGAGATTTGTTAAAAAAAAATCTATTCCAAGAAAAAAGAGGAAAAAAAGATGGTGACAGAAAAAATCTGGGGTGAAGGTGAGGGAAGTTTCGAGACTATGTGCCAGATGCCTCCGATCCTAGTGAAGATGTTGGTGAGATCATCCCCTGGGAAGGTATGAGAAAGGATGGACATGACAGGGAGATAACAATGACTTTACTTTCTTATTGAAAAAAAAAAAAAGGTACAGCAAAATAATTGACAATGAAATTAGCTGAAGAAATGAGGGACAATGGAGAAATGGAAACGGGTTATTGTAAAAGCTTCACTTAGACATGAACTCACCCCAAGGTCAAGTGAGGAATAGGACTGGACTTGTAATGACCTAACAATCTATAAGTTTACATTCTCCACTATCAGTACCCTTAAAGTAGTTGTTTACAGTGTAGCACTCTTATATTCCACAGTGAGAGAGGAGCTGTGAGGAAGACATGTGCACATGAAGTAGAAGAGACATTTAATGCACAAAAGAGCTTCGTCTTTGGGAGAAAACCTATCATCTCTCTGGTGCTTCCCTTTCCCTCTGCTCTCCTGCATTCTTGCTGGTGACAGTCAATGTATTTATTGAACAAAGGAGAAATCTGTATGTGACTGCCCAAGTTTCCCTTTATCAGAGTACTTTCTTCCCACAGAACCGATTCCTGTTGGCTCATACCCCCTGGGTTAGACACCACCAACAGGGCAGCATCTTCCGAAAAAACAGTGTTTAAGACAGTACTCATGTATCACTTGGCAGAGAGAAGCCCCAAAAGTCTAACTCTCTGCTTGATATGTCTGGAATGACCATCAGCATTTCAGGACAGGTGCATTCTTAGGCTTAGCTGGCTCTTCCAGTTTTCCTGCCAGAAGACAGGAGCATAGCACATCAGTCATTGAGTGGCTGCCAACGGACACAGGGCATCCCCTGGGAGTGGCAGGCCTGGGTGTGGTGTAACAGGGGTACCGAGCATTCTGAGATTCCTGGAGAGATTGGTAGTTGTGGTATGTGCATGTCTGGGCCCCCAAGGACCAGGCGGCACTCAGTAGGCAAAAGAACAATATAAACATTGTCTCAGAATGCTTCCAGCCTGCCACTTGCTGGGCTTCTCTCAATTTCCTTTTTGTTTGAGCCTCTTCCCCTGCCTCCTACTATCCTCTTGCCAAGCTTTCCCAGATCCCAAATCTAAGGGTTCGACTGACCAGGTAAAACTTCGTGGGGTGTAACAAATAGGGAATGTTGAAGTTTTCTAAACAAAGGAATGATACTAAAC